TTACGTGTTATGTGCTTCCGTGTTAACTAAGAAGCGATAGATTATCACTTTGTATCATCTTCTAGGAAATTAATTATATGATTCTTTTCACGTGTCATAAAAAATTAACTTTAAACTTAAAAGGAAATGTTGTCATGGATTACAATAGCTATCCTGTTCAAGAGTCTAAGTAAGAGGAAATTTTTTTCGCAGACGGGGCATCAGGTAAACTAAAAGTTAATAGTGTTTTGAATGGGCCTTTTGCAAAGTGTCGTCTAATACCCGAGATTGGACTTGAACTTTGCTCCCACTATAGTATCCGTTGATTAGAGCAATTTCCGTTTTCCTTTTAGACACTCCTTTCGCGTTAAACATTGCTGACTTGCTTGTTGTCATCTTAAATATTATCAGTTGCCTGTTGCCCCTTGTCTGTTTCGTAATGCATGTTGCTTCTATTGCGAATGCCTTTTACCCAGAACTCCTCTTCTTTTTCGCAACATGGTCGGCAGACAACGAATATCGGGCACGGTACTTTGTTTACCTAATTGGGTAAGTTCGCGGGTTATGACATCATAATTAGCATCACCTTGTGACATCCTATCATAAATTCAAATAATCATGTTATATCCTGTCTCGAGATTGGACTGATGACAACCGCAATATGGTGACAAAATATTGATAGTCAAGGAAAATATCTCGTTCGCTTGTAGTTCTTCTCTCGCCACATCGCACAATCTAACCAAGTAAACATTGGCATTGGCTCTTCATCGATCATGCCTGGTTACATTCGCTACCAGCAGACAAACAAGCTAAGGGATAAGTCCACACTCTTTTTCCTCTGCTCATTTATTCTTGTCGTTGTTTACACGACCGTTATTGGCCTCGTGCTTGTTCACGTACTAAAGATAACGAAAGACATCGAAGACAACAACGACGAACTGTTGGAGGCGAACAAGAAGTTAGAAGAAAAACTGGAATTACTTGTCATCCGGCAAAAGAAACTTGAGGAAACAAACTCGGTCAATTCGAGCGCGATGCTCTATGTAAATATAAAACCTCCTAGACAGCTGAAAACCGCAGGAAGAGCAAATATGAATGTCGGATCAAACAAAGTCAGGGGAAAAAACTGGCCTGAAAATTAATTCTAGCCAAAGATACCACTATGTAGGTGAGTTAAAACAATTAGAGCCAGATATTCTTATTTCAGAGGAAAGATTTGATACAAAATAGTAAATAAAATCCTGTTCACTTTGACAGGAACATTAGTTGTGGTCAAATATCTCGAGGCAATAAAAGTCTTACTTTCAATACAACTCAATCTGCATAAAGAGCGAAAATTTCTCTAATTTTCTTCGACTGTATGCCTTCATTTCTATCATAGTCTTGCTTATTTTCATTCTACAAAATCTTACAGACTTAAAATTGAGAAAGTATTTCCTAGATGCTCAATTTTTTGGCAAACTCGTGTTCAAATTATGCGACAAATTACAAATTCATCGTCTCCCTAATCGGCCGCGAGGCTATCTTCTAATTTAAGGTGCCAGAAATGTATGCTGCGAATAAATGCAAATGCGTACTGCTAATTTTACAGCCGAGACGAATCATTTAAGCTTAACTGGAAACGGATACAGCTGCATTTGCTTTGACCTGATTTTGCATCTTGTGTGTTTGTTAGCTTTCCTATCTTCACAAAGCGACCAAGTTTGTTTTCCTATGATTTACACACCTCCTAAGAGTTCTCAGTACGAAACCAGTCTGTAAGTCTTTTATAAATCTTTTATAACATGAGGATCAATTGAAAATTGAAAATATTATTTCATATCATGTGAATTCATGAAATGAAAACAATTGCAACGGCTCCAATTTGGCTGAAACTCCCTTAGTAACAATAAAGTAAACATTTCGAGGCTAGCTTAATTTCTGTTAATGGCCTCATCACCTTGTGTTACTTCCTTACATGCGATTTCTTCTTTTGTCCTTTTTTTTATAAGCCAGGACGACTAAACACACTATAAACCCCTGCGTGTGCCAAGAAAATTTATTTTTATGTTATTACTTTAGTTTATAGGACGGCGTGAACCCTGTAAAGCTTAAATTTTTGTTTTAATCTCTACGCATGCGATTTAAGAAAAGCAAATAACTTTCTCACGGAAATATGAACATAAAGCTTACTAAGAAGACTTCGAATATTTTGGCTAGACTTCAATATCAAAACGCCCGGTAAGCCGTCTTGTAGCTCTTGAAATTACCGAAAAGCGTCCTTTTTTATTTAAAAGCTTGAGAAACTAATTGAAAGTATAAATAGAGAGTTATGGTAGCATGCGACATTTTTTTTTTTGTTAGCTATCCTTGATAGAACAGACTCGTGTCATTTTATTATTTCAGTACGACTCTTTCTGAGCTGGGCCACCTCGCTAATTGTAACTGCTAAATTCTAAAAGCCAAACAAGGTGGATCTTGTCGGCTGGCCAGTTTTGCTTTCTGTGATGACATCTGATTGCCTAAACCCGAGGCATTTCTGAGACCCAAGCGGTGCCAAAATCATCAACGTGAATTTTCTCTGCTTTTTTTGCCGAATACCGGCTGATAAACAATTTAGAATATTTGGGTGATTGGTATGAATTGAAATTCCTTGATTCTTTGTACATTTATGTCACAGTTAAAATAAAGGAGAATCGTTGCGGAGGTTCGATTCCTCATGGGGACTCAGAATTTATTTTTTGTCCAACGCTCGTGACAAGACGAAAAACATCTTTCTCCATCTCTTTATCGAGCTCAAAACTTATTATCTTTCTTTTTCTAATCTCCTCTGTGGTTTTATAGTAAGAGTAATTTTTCTGAATTTTTATGATTTAAATACTGAAGCAGAAATGTCTTGTTGCGTCATCCTGCATCGTCTGAAGGGCATGACCAAGATTAGGGACAGAACTTAGGTAAACCGCAGAGGTGCATTTTCCGTATAGTAGGTTCTTCTTTGAGTATTTTAAAATGTACGAGACCTAACTAACAGTTCAATGTGGATTTTCAACGCAAATTGGCATTTCCTCGGACTTATGAGAACTCTCGAGTAATTTTCTACGCTCCTTTAAAAGGTCGAATCCCTAGTACGAAAGAACGAGGTTTGACTAAAATAACCATTTTCAACTAAAATTGTGATATTTTTTCTTTTTTTCAAGAAATCCTCCGTAGAGCCGTATCAGAGGACAAGAGAATCAACCCAAAAAGGTTGTTGTGGCAGCAGCTCCTAATCAGGGAGTCGCACAAAGCTTAGGAGGTCTTATGCGCATGTACGAAATAATCGGAACAGTACTATCTAAATGATGTAACTAGTATTAAGTCAGCGTCAATTCAAATAATAATAATAATAAAAAAAGAGTTAGCATTTTCATACATTCTCTATAGTTCTAGCTGTTGTTCTGGTTGTAATTTCCACGCGCACAGTAAACACAGTTAATCTTCAATAAGAGTTAAGTGGCAAAGGGTGAGAGGAAGAAGAGGAAGCTGTCGTGGCCTATAACTGGGGCATTATTTCGATCTGACTGGTATTGCTACTAATGATAAAAGATTGAGGGATTTGGTGCTCGAGCAGGGGTGACTTTGATACAGGTCTCGATAGATACGAGTTGCTCTGGCAAACAAGTGAGTTTCCTCTCCAATGACTCTTTGAACTCCTTTTGCTGCAGACATTGAAGATAGCTGAGTTTTTAATTTAGTTCATATATGCTGTTCATACAAGATGGAAATTTTTCATCGTTAAATGACAAAAAGGTGAATTTAGTTAAACTAAATGCAGTCGCCAAACCAAGTCAAAAATAATGTGTTGTGAGACGCTTTGAGTAACGTAAGTTTCTGTGGCTGTCTTCTTTTTCTGAAAGGCAGTTAATGCTCTCAGGGCAACTGCTCGTATAACCATCAAGAGCTCTCGCCTGGACGCCAATGCTGCTGACAGGGTCGTCGCAATGCTCGGAGGTTTCGACAAAACATGCAGTTCCACTCCGATCCCTTAAGTAAACTTTAAGTCCGTTTGCGGTGAAAGGCTTTCGCTGGTCTAAATCAACTTCCTTTTCTTCTTCCTTAAGTGAATACAGCTTGAATGACGTTTCTTCAGAGAAGGTCTGAAGCTTTCGAATCCGCCCATACCTACGGTTTCCAATGGAAATTCTTCTCCTTTCCATTTCATCCTCGCTGGATTCTAAAAACTTCAGCTGCCGAGGCTTCATTACTTTTTCATTCTCCGTCGAGAGATTGCGCGGCCGTGTTCTCGTTACTTTATCCACGTCACTACAGTCGGTATCTGATGATTCATTTCGGATGAAACGTCTTCCGTACGCCCATGACAGACTTGGCATTTTCTTAGGCTTTGGCAACGTGCTGTGGCCTGAATAAGCTTTATTAAAATGTTTAGGGCTCTGCGGTGGGTTGGAATTAGTCATAGTTCCTATTCCTCCATTACACTCCCCCATCGAGTCAGATGGATGTCCGAGGACACCATGGTCAAGGTTGCGTAAAGTGACAGAGTCATTTAGGCGCGGAGTATTGTTAATCGTTTGTCCAATGATATCACAGTTTATGGACAGTTTTTCTTGAGATTTTGTAGTCGGTACCTGGGTATAGTAGCTTTTTGGTATTGTGAGGAAATTCGAATCTACGGTTGTGCAAGCAGCATTGTTCAAATAGCGCTCTTCCCATACTTTGACTGATATTTCATCGAGTCCTCTTCCTGATCTGAGGTTTTCGTGCGTCCTCATCCCACTGAATCTCTTTGATGTAAGAGCATGAGAGTTATATTGGGCGAGACTCTCTTTATCACGACCGGGTTCGCCGGATAGATTTGAGAGGTGTTTATCTTCAGCTTGTCTCATGGAGCTCTTCTTTGTTTCACCTTTATCCTTGGTGGTAGTCCGTTTGAAACATTTCTGGATCCTTGGCTTTAGACCAACTCCGAGAATGTATGTTATTACAATAATTATAACTAACAAGCCAACTGCAAGTGCTACGACAATTGGATAAGTTTGATCAAAACTTGAATCATTTTGAAAACGTTGTTTTGCCTGAGGGGTCAGCTCCGTGAATGTTCCTCCTGATGCGTTCGATCCTAGCGTTAAGGAAACAGTAGACTCCATGGTTGTTTCAGGAGCTTCTCCATATAAGTATGTGCTCACAGAAAAAGGATCTTTCGTAGGCCATGTGGCAGTTTTATTCTTAGTCATGTCTTTTTCCAATTTTGACCAATCGCGTTTGGAGGAATATGTGCACTCCCCTACAGAAATTCCCTTGGAATTGAACTGAGTAAAATTTATGCTATGACTGTTTACAAAGACATCACGCAAACAACCTATAAAGCAGGGATATTTACGAGCGCTGCGTCCAAAACGTATTGTAAAGTGAGACGATTC